TATGATGACACTATACTCCGGGATATCATCCGTTCGCTCGTTGAACTCCGACTGGAATCCTGCAGACGTTTCACTAAAGCTCACTTGGCATCTTCAATGTTCGCGCTCCGAAAACACTTCGAAGTATATGTATATATATATATATATATATATATATATATATATATATATATATATATATATATATATATATATATATATATGATGACACTATATTCCGGGATATCATCCGTTCGCTCGTTGAACTCCGACTGGAATCCTGCATCCGACTGGAATCCTGCAAATCCTGCATCCGACTGGAATCCTGCAAATCCTGCATCCGACTGGAATCCTGCAGACGTTTCTTCACTGCTCGCGCTCCGAGCATTGAAGATGCCAAGTGAGATTTTGGCGAAACGTCTGCAGGATTCCAGTCAGATGCAGGATTCCAGTCGGAGTTCAACGAGCGAACGGATGATATCCCGGAATATAGTATCATCATATTTTTCCATCCGTGAATCAATACGTGAGAATATATATATATATATATATATATATATATATATATATATATATATATATATATATATATATATATATATATATATATATATATATATATATATATATATATATATATATATATATATATATATATATATATATATATATATATATATATATATATATTATATTTCGTTTGTGAATTCTTGGATCCTTTTGATTTTATATATTCTTAAGAAATGGTTCTTGGGTTTTTTTTGGTCCCTTTTTAGTGAAATTAAAATAAGTTTCCGTTACTTGTGAAACATTTAATTTTTATTTTTTATTATTTTGAAGATTATTGTTTTGGTTCGTCGTCTTATCAACGTTGCTTGTCGATTTACATATTCGATATGTCTGTTGTGAATGTTGTAAAACTGTAAATTACCAAACAACTGTATAGTGAACCGTTGATTTTTGGCTTAAGGTTAAAATTAAATGTCTGAAGAAGGTCTTGAAGGCCGAAACGTCACAAAAAATAAAATGTTTCACAAGTAACGGAAACTTATTTTAATTTCACTAAAAAAGGACCAAAAAAAACCCAAGAACCATTTCTTAAGTATATATATATATATATATATATATATATATATATATATATATATATATATATATATATATATATATATATATATATATATATATATATATATATATATATATATATATATATATATATATATATATATATATATATATATATATATATATATATATATATATATATATATATATATATATATATATATATATATATATATATATATATATATATATATATATATATATTGGTGATATTTTTCATTTATTCAGAATTATGTACCGGCCTTTTTGTTATGGAATTTGCTTTTGTTTCAATCTATAGATTTGTCATTTAAAATAAACTAAGGTTACCGAACAACAATGTTATAGTTTTATTATGCTGGGTGTGATTTTTGTTTAGTTTAATAAGTTAATTTTTAGTTTTATTCCTCACACATTTATAACAATTAGTTGGTTTTTAAGTGACTTTCAGTAAATATAAGCAGAATTTTCGTTTTTGCCGGAAAATCCTATTTAAATAGAAAACGGACGTATGAAGCGAGAGCTCAAAATAAATTCCAACTGGAGTGCCCCGGCGTTGTATGAACCACAATGCCGAGCGGACATTAAAATTTTGGAACGGCAAACACACTAGCCCTAAACAACCCCCAAAAAAATTCATTTGTAGTTTCCGTTTTAGAGCGGTAGTTAAATTAAGTAATTAAATGCAGCTCTGCTACCCTATAGGTGGGTATATGGTTATTCATTATAATCTTTCAAAAATATATGATCTAATAAAAATATCAAAAAGATGACAAAAAATTCAAAATTAAAATACGTACCAATTAAATACGGCTTACTTCTAATAAAAGAAATGTGTGCTTTGAACGTAAATATTTAAAAAACTGCTTAATCCGATTCTAACAAACAACATATTTTTTAATTAGAAAAACAAGATCTTCTATTTTGTTCCGAAATATATTTAATGTATTTTTATTGTAAATCGCGTCAAGTATTTGACACTAATTTTAGATTTCTTCACCTATTTTGTTAATTAATTGTGCCGTTGGTGAAAAATGCATTACACAATCGATTTTTAAAAAAAAAGACTCAGAAATATATACAAATATAATCATTTTTCAAAGTATTGTAGTTTTTATAGGCACATTGCATTCGTAATTCGCAAGGATTAAAACTATCTCTTTCATTGATTGCCGATAAGCCTTTCTTGTGATTGAAATTCCGTAAACAAAATAACCATTTGCGCGAATCCTTGACATGTAAAAAGGGGATAGAAGTGGAACAAAACTTTTTCGAATCTAGTCATTTTTTTTTGTTGCCTCCAGTAGCGATAAGATGTCCTATATTGAATGATTTTCCAAGTCAATAATATCAGATTTTTTTGCAAAAGCACTTCTTGTACCAAAGGATGTTTCTGAATATGGAAAGCTGATTAAAATGATACGCCTCATTCGTCAAAAACGTATCCCAAATAAAATCGTATACAGACCGTATTTATTGCAGGAAATTTGAAAGCTCGAGCATGGAACAAGACTTTCATATATTGAGAATACCGAAGAAAAATATGATCTGTGAGATGATATTCCACTTCCCTAGAAATTTTTATTGGTACCGACATATAACGGTTCAGTTTTTACTTAAAATGTTGTCGAATTCGGAATTGCCTTCTCCTGTAATCTTGGTTTAGAAAAAACTGTGTATTTTGTAAATTATCAGAATCTGTCGTCAAAATGGTAATTTTTTAAAATTTGGGTGCTCACCTATAGAGGTAAGTGACTCCCAAAAATTGTGAATACGAAACTTGTATTAACACACGACGAAAAACTTTTTCTCCTGATCTCTAAAATATTTAGGTTGTTAATTTAGACAAGCTATATTTTAATTAATTAAATTGGGAATTTTATTGAATTGAAGATAGAAAATGTGATAATTTTTATGCAGTGTTGCCACATAGTTGTTGCATTCGTTCATATAGCAATTCATCCCGGATGAAATGGCCAAGCCGGTGACATTGCTCTTTCAATATCTACAAAAATTTTAAAACCTCCTTACTGTCGCTTTAACCATCTATTATACGTCGTATATGTCGTTTTTAATATTCCCTAGACTTTTGGAAAATTCGGTCTATGCAAAATGTTTTAGGCTTAAAATAAAATTGTTTTTTTGATTCATTATTAAAATTATTCATGGAAAAGCTTCCTAATTGCTTTGCTCTCAGTTTTTTGGAATGGATGTGGAAAAAAGTGAGAAAAAAAAGAATAAAGAAAATGATTGAATATAAACACTTTAGAAGAAGAAGAATTATCAACAACGGTGATATATCAGATGATTTGTTGATGACTGAGCAGAAGAAAAAGTCCGATATCCTTGTGTGTGGCGAATAATAATGCTGTTACGATCATTTGGATCAAATAGTAGACATTGTAAATATAGTTCAAAATATGTGACCTCTGTGCGGAAATATTGTAAAAAAACCCATTTAGGCAATGAAATACATGCCACAAATATATTCTTTTAGTATTCATGAGTGTTAGTACCGATGGTCATTTTATAAAAAATACTCTAAATATTTATTTGCCATATAATTAATTTTTAAGTATATAAGATGCCCCAAACCAATGCTCACATTTTTTGAATACTTCAGCCTGTCTATATCGATAATAGTATATTATGCAACAAGTGCGGTAAACGGCATGTGACTCACGAGTTTATTTGACAGGAGCGGAGCGAGTTTTTAATAAACGAGTGACTTAAAAAGTTTACCGAACGTGTTTCATACTATACTGTTTCTACGATATTTAGATTTTGGGTACATTTTCGCCAAACAACACGAATACATTCACAGACATGGTCGTCAGAATTGCCAAACGTCAAATTCAAGGTGTGGGAAATATCTCCGAAATTAACCGATTGCTCTCAAACCCGTGCGGTAAAATCACGGAAATGTCCGAAGTAGCTCGGATTCGTGGGAAACGAAACTGACGTGGTAAACTGGCGCTTCCAGCACGCTAGATCGGTAGGTAATTGGGTATTTTACAGACGGGAGTGGAAAAAATATTGTAAAATATGTTGTACAATAACCCAAAAAATCATGACGATAAACGAGTAATTTTTTATAGATTCTTTCTTCATTAGCTCTGATTACTTGGAAAAAAACCGTTTATTTAAAGAAAAAGCATGCCTTAAACGGGATGTTCAACTATTTCATTGGTATAATAAATTTTGTAAGGAAAATGATTTGAAACTCAATTTGTTAACTATTTTCATTAAGAATTAAAACCATTTTTTTATAATTGCGATTATTCTATTTCCTATATATTTACAAAAAAAAAAAAAACAAACAGCTAGGCTGCTATTTTTATGGTAAACTGATATCTTCAAATTGTGAAATACGACATTTGACTTTATTTATTCAGTTTAATTTCTACAACTGGATGTAAACCAGTTGAAAGGTTTTTGGTTAATTAGGTAGATAATTTAGTAATTCCTCCTATGCTGAAAACTGTAGACGGGTGATGCAACTTTAGTTAGGAACCTGCACAGTCATCTGTAGAGTAATGAAGCAATTTTGGTTAGTCTCTGTAATCTGTAAGATATCTGTATATGTCAGCCTTTAAGATATAACCCGAAGCACGGGGGATGGTGGACAGGGCTATTCCTTCTGGTATTGTCTATTATTAGATTCTTGTATGAATAACCAATCAATCTCTAGTTCTCTTAGTTGACATGCCTTTCGAAACCGGAAGCTGACGTGGTTTCCTGTAAAAACACACATTATTCTGACGTGCCCCGTAAACCGACTTTCGGCGGAAACACGTGCATACATATTCAAAACTTTCAGCAGCATCCTGTTTCCGAATAAACTGTTTACATGCACGTTATCGTTTCAGCAGCAGCGTACGGTTATTTACCTGATTACGTGTCCTTCGTTGCAGGAGCAAAGTGGCAGCCGCTTTGCTCAACAAACATCTGCAAATCAACGGCATCTCGGCCGGTTTGACTTCGTTAAGGCATTCGTTGGACGAAAGTTTCGAGGCAGAGAAAAACAATGCGACTGCCGATGCCGCCGCTTCCGATCCGGGAACGTGCAGTAAAATGAGGAGAGAAAGGAAAGCTGCCAGGACTCTCGGAATTATCGTTTCCGCATTTCTGGCCTGCTGGCTGCCATTTTTTCTCTGGTAAGCGAGTTTTTTTTTTGCCAAAAAAACTTGTTTTATGGATTTGTATGTCCGAATAATCATAAAATTATATCACTTTTGTGTAATAGTAAATAATTGTGTACTTTCCATTTTAAATTTGTATGATTTTGTATAAGATCTGTAAAAATATTTCTACCATGATAAAAAAAATATACCCCACTAGGCCTAGTACTTGACGAACACTTTTAGTTTTTCTATACCATAACGCAAAAACTGATATTAGAATTTAATTGTACTCCATGTGATATTTTAATCAAGAAATCAATAACCGCATCGTATTCAAATGTCTACAGAAAAATTATCCATCATATTCATAAGTCACATTTTATAATAAAATTTGTAAGACGTTAGAATAGTCGTTTATACTTTTTTTAAAACTTCTGGATTCCTCCTGCGTCGGTTTTTGCTGAGTCGAACTTGCTGACATTTCGCCAATCATCCTGTTAGCTTCTTCACAGCTTGGCTCAAAACTGGCTCACATTTTACTCTGTACCTGCTTTTATATTTTTTGAGAGGGGCGGAGCTAAGTGAGAGGCATAAACACCATGAAAGCAGGTACAAAGTAAAATGCGAGCCAGTTTTAGTCAAGCTCTGAAGAAGCCAACAGGATGATTGGCGAAACGTTAGCTAGTTCGACTCAACAAAAACAGACGCACGAGGAATCCAGAAGTTTTATAAAAAGTATTAAGTAGCCTGTGGAAGTTTCTTTGAAAAAAGAAATCTAACGAAGTCAATTAATTTAACGAAATCATCGTATAGGCCGCGTCAATTATATCAAATATATAAATAATCACAAAGCAGTATTCTCAAATAGTTTCTATACTAACCAAAGTAGTCAACTAGAATTGACTTTACATTGTAAACCCCACACCCAACACCATTTTATATAGACAAGAATAAATGTATAAATTACGAATCTGATATTTTAGCAACTTACCATCATACATATTAATGGTTAAGAAACCATTTCAACACTTCAGTATTATTATTTTTTTATAGTGAGACTATGGCAACTTCGTATACAAAGAAAACGAATATCAATGAGCTTTATTTTTGGAAATCTCTAAAAATGCTTTAACAACAGAAACACCGAAAGCCCATAACGCAAAGATCAAAGAAGGGAAAAAAACTAGTCATGATCGGAAAAAATATCTTCGTCTGAGTCTGATTCGTGCATATCGATAACAACTAGGAGAATATTAATAATAATATTTCCCTTTCTCAAGCCTCACTTATCAGGCGGTCCGTGCCTACCATAATTCTTCTATTTTTCGGGTGGAAACGCAGTACTGCATCAGATATAACGGCATTGATGGAACCTATTTTGGAATCATAATACCTTTTGCAATCTGAGTTAACCATCTCGCGATGGCCATTTTCCAATTCTAACATGTCCATTCTTAAAAGATTATATTTTTAAATATTTTAATATTCAAAGAAAAATACTTAGGGACTACCTATTCAGTTTTTCTGGCAAGTGTTGCGAACTAACTTAACTTTCATTAAACGTGGCTGGGGAATATTCCCTTTTTCCAGCCGCTCGACAAGAGACTGCTTGATCCAGTTTTAAGTAGGTATTGACTCAGCAAGTCCACAGTGATACGATGCATTGTCCATTATTCTAAAATGAAGGTTCACTATGATTGGGCTACAGTTGTTGATTGAACCACCTTTTAAAGTAAAAAAAAATACATAAGTTGTTTTTTCCCAAAGCACATTAGTATTAAGGAAATGAGAGTTTCCAAGTGTCCGAATCTGACACTTTCACCTCTGTTCATAGGCTAATAGCAAATTAGAAAACTTGATCATTAAATACTAACCAAAACTAAGTATAAACAAACCCATAAATATAAAAAATAATCTTGGTTCCTTTAAAATTTACCAAATCACTGTATACTCCCTGTAAATTATATCAACGATGATTAAAGTAGTATTCTCCTCACTGGTAACGACTCCGAAACTAAACTAAGTACTGAACATGTACCGCCTAGTACCGACTACAATTGAACATTGTAAACCCCACATCCAACACCATTTTATATAGACAAGATGTATGAATTACATCGTAGGAACTTATTATAAATCATATTAAAAGTGTCTAATTAGGAAGTTTCCAAATGACTTTTTTAAGTTGGCATTTTGGCATCTTTTTTGACTATCGCTGATTTGTACTTAAATTTGAATTACTCTAAATTACTTTAAAACATCCTTTTAAGAATCCAGCCCTTTATTGATCATTTAATTCCCTTTACCTAAAATTTTGTCAATGCGTATGTGAAATGCGTAATAAAAAGGTTTATGAAACTTTTATGTCGAATCAAAAAATGAAGAAATACAGAAATTCAAAGCGTTTTACCATGAACAATAAATTAAATTATTAATTAATTAAATTAATTAATAACTACATTAATAACAAACAAACAAAAAATTTGTTTACAAATTTTAAATGACGCCTGAAACCATATTTTTCGCCATCAGGTTTAGTGTTATTTTACAATTATTGCTAGCGACGTCAATATAAAGTTCAATATAATTAAACTGAAATGCGATTGGTCCTGATCACAAAAAAGAAAGAAAGCTTCGCATTACGTGCTCACACTACCTATCGCATAGTTTACCACAAAATCGCAGAATTAAACGAAAGATATTAAACTCAGTGCTGCTCAATCCAAAAGCCACAATAAAACTAAGTATAAAGAAACAAACCCACAACCAGTCACGTCCGCAGAAATGGTCCTTCATCATTTTATTTTCCGCCCCCTTAAAATTAAACTCTCCGATGGGTTTAAAATCGATACCATCCCACTGTCGCTTAAAAAAGGAAACAAAACCGTGCAGTAGAGAATTAACGACAGAATAATATTTTCCAACGCGATGGCACGTAGTTACGTTTTTATTCTATTTTTTTAAGCGTACACGGATGTCTGTTTCAATTTGCCACCTTCCCTTTACCCACTTCTATTCTAAATGGTTCTATAAAAAAAACCAAGCTGACTGGGGAAAATGTATGGCCTACCGAAGTTTTAGCACATAAAAAATTCAAACATTTTTTTTAACTGACAGCCTAAATCAATAAAAGGTTTTTTGAACTTTTTAATTATGTAGTTGAACAATTTCCAACAATCCAAAAGTTGGAAACGCAAAATGTACTTCTCCTACCTTTAAATATTAAGTTCGTTAACCCCTTAAAATCAAGATTATGGAGGTTGCCGGTAAAAAAAGCAACCATATCCATTCGTTTTTTATTTTGAAAGCCACAAAATTCTAACAACAAAATATATCAATTTCTTAAGTATAACACTGTATATAAACCTGAAATAAATGTTTGTTTTAAATACAATAAAACTTAACCTATATATGCCAGGCTTTTTTCATATATGGTGGCAATCGTTGTCATATTAACCGTAAATTCATTTTACAGAACAGAATTCCGCGTCCCATTTTCTTTTTTTGGAGAAGTCTTTAGGAGGTAGAATCTATTGGTAGTGGTCATTATATATTTACTGAATCTACCACTCAAAAATACTCACTTTTTTTGGATTTTTTGACTTTTCATAGAAGAAATGAAGTCTTTAAGCACAGTACTTGTATTGTTGTGTTCGAGACACGTACGTTTGCGTGTCTGCCTTTTTTTATTTGCTTTTGCTTTGTTCTCTGTATTCGAGCTCTTTTGCAAAAATGTATTTAAAAATAAAAGCCCTAGAAAAGGTACAGCATGCAACACGTTGATAAAATGACGGACTGCAGATTTGAGTTTCTAATGTTTCTAGAAAACTCTGAAAAAATATTTACATCTGTTTGCACTCAAATTTCACTTCCATTATTTGGTTCCTACACGACGAAAATAATTTGGTGTGGGTGGAAGTTTCATGTCAATTTATCACCGTGAAAAATTACGTCTTCTTTGTTTCTCTTCCAGGCAATAAGGAGGAGTGCTTTAAAAGTAAACTTGGCCATAATACGGGGCTTTATTCCGTAATAAAATTTTCTTTTAAACACGCTTCTCCGCCACTATTTTTAAAGACCAAAGAGGCGAGATTTGGTGATGCCACACACTTATCTCCTTTTTCCATTTATCTGGCAATTTGGTTGAGTAAGCCATTTAGCAATGAAACTGATTTATGAATAAACCAATCGAGACTGTAGGACTTGAGAAAGAAGCAAACACCATTAGAGCAGTCATATATTTTTTTGTTATATTAACAAGTTTTGACATACTGAAGCATTTTTAGGAAACAGTTAGGTCTTATTTAATAGGAAAAATAATTCATCCCGTTCAACAAAACTTCAATAAACCAGGTAATAAATAAAACATGACATTTTTGCGACACTCCGAAGCTGGTACGGGTTTAATATTTATCTCATATATTTCATCACTTCGTCCCCTGCAAACCTTCTCCACATCTGGATTGTTACGGATTTTGGAAGCGTAACTCCAAAAATACTAAATCACACTTACGAACCATTTTAGTGGAGAACTCAGTGGGAATGTTTTATATTATATAAGGTCGACTTTAGATAAATAAAAAGTTAAGTCGTATTGGCTTAAAAATAAGTTATCTTCGCTAATGTAATGATTGAAAAATTTAGGATTATTTTAGATATTTTGGTCATTATAGAATAGAAAAAAATGAGTTGAAAATCTATCAAAATGACATTACTTGCATAGTTTACAAGAATACAAATTTTGTCTAATTTCAATATTCACGTTTAAATTTTTGGTGAAATTAAATTAAATAAATTCAACTATACTGATTATATATAAACCAGTGCGAGTTATGTCATTTTGATAGTTTGCAACTATTTCATCTATTCTCTAATTATCAAAAAATTGTGCAGAAAAGACCTTTTTTATATTTAAAGTTTTTTTTATGTAAACAAACACTCTGTACAGTGCTCATGAAAATAATATGGTATATATGTTTTCAAATATCATAAAATACACATAATTAACAAGTTAATAGCTAATATAAATGATT